GCAATAGAATACTTCAGTTCAGTTTAATTACTCTGTCTTCGTCTGCTGACTTGGTGATCCACAAGTAATTTTTTCCACCCTCTTGTATAATGTTCAACCAACAAAATTTATTTTCATCGTCAAAAAACATAAAATCAGACCTAATGTGTGGGACTTGCTTGCTATTTTTATTAGTTTTTCACTGCATTTGCCAGATGAAATTAATACATTTCCGTTCCGTATTTTTCCCATTATTAAATTAATGTCGATCATATCCGTTTTTTGACAACGGAAATAGAATAAATATTGTTGTAAATACCAGCATATGGGTTGGGGGGGCCTTCCTGCCTGTGCTTAATTTACCTTTTATTATTATTATTGGGATGGGTATAGATTTACCAAATTGATAAAATATTTGTAGTTAAAAAAATTTGAATTTAAAATCTCTCACTTCTTGTATAAGTCAAAAAACCAATAAAATCATGCATGATTGACTTTAATTTACTTTCTTTGGTTGTCTCTATTAGAGTAAGCCTTACACATATATTAGACTTGTAGAACAGAACCTAGTGTATTTTTAGTGTAGTAAATCTTTGCATAATTTTTTTTTCCACTCTTGCCAGCTGGTTGTATATAATATAATTTTTTCGATTTATATAAATTTTATATCTTTTTAAATCTCTGGCATTCGGACTCTATTACTAAGTACCGTCTAATTCGGTTCGCAGTTTAATTACAGTTAAGGTTTTTTGCACCTCCTGCAAATGTATTTAGTTAGGATCAAACCCGAGAGTTTTTCCCACTACCCAAAGGTAGATTTTATATTATTACTAGTGTTAGCACCCACGCCATGCGCGGAGCAGCATTAAAAGATGAAATAATCTTTTATAAAATCGTTCAAAAATAATAAAATTATATAATAAAATGATCGTGAAAGACATTATAAATACTCAAACCCATTTAAATACCTGATTAAAAATTAGGTACCGAACCCATTTAGAAATTCACTATTGTCAAATCCAATTATAATTACCTGTTTAAATACCTGAACCTGTTTAAATACGCATTTACATTAAAAATATTTTTTTATTTTTTAAAGATAAAAAATAAGTAAAGATTATAAAATTATTATTTTGATTAAATAAAAAAATATAATATAAATATTAAATAGAATTAAAATTAAAAATATAATATAAATATTAAATAATAATTATAGCATAGCATTAATTATAATTAAAAAGGTGTGTGTATATATATATAATTTTCTTTAGAAAAATAATTATTTTAAATATTTTTGGAATATTAATTAAACGGATAGTGGGTAGCTGGACCCGAGTCCTTGAACCCGACCCGAACTCGATACAGGTAGTAAAAATATTATCCGAACCCGTTCCAAAATCCATTTGTTTAATACCCAAATCTACCAAAATCAGATCGGATCTAATTAGGTACCCATCGAATCGGGTAAAATTGTCATCCCTAACTAAGATATGCTTTCTTAGGTATCCTGCGAAACTTTTCACTAATAACAATAAAAGTCATGTATGATATGATCTATATAAAAAAAAATGCATACACACTATTAATATATTTTTCAATAGTAATAATGATTTGGAGAATTTAATTAATTATATTGAAACAAGAAATTAAGTATTTTTTTATTTTTTTTATATTTATGATTTATTATAAATGATTGTTTATTTATTTGAAATATTATATTATGTATTACTTATTTAGTGTAGTGTGTCCTAAGTATGTGGATGTCTTATTTGTTTAAAAATTATTGTATCATGTACATTATCATGTCCCGTATCCATGCAACCTAGCTCCTATTATATGAGTACTCCATACACTAAGCTAATCAACTAAGATTTTTTTTAATTACCAATAAAAAATGAAGTGTTTTTTTTATAAAAAATTTGTTTCTATCTCAAGAAAATAATAAATTAAGTTTATTTTATGTTTATAATTTATTACAAATAATTGTTTATTTATTTGAAATATTAATATATACTTATTCGTAGTGGCGGAACTAAGGATGGCCAGCGGTGGCAGTCGCTCCCTAATTTTAATTTTTTTTTGAAATTTACTTTATAAAATATAAAAAATTTTACTTTTAAACTATTAAATAGTGATTTTTTTTCAATATCACTCCCTCTAATTTTTGAAAAAATTTTTTGGCCTCCTCTAATTATTTCTTCTGGTTCCGCCACTGCTTATTCGGTGTTGTGTGTTATAAGCGTGTCTTACTTTTTTAAAAATTATTGTATCTTGTATCTCGTGTATCTTGTCCGTGCAACCTAACTCCTGACATATGAGACTACTTTATACACCAAGCTAATCAACCAAATTTTTTTAATTACTAATTAAAAATGAAGTATTTTTTTTAATTTGTTTTTGTGTTGTTGAAATAAGAAATTAAATTTTTTTTATTATTTTATGCTTATGATTTATTATAAATGATTATATATTTATGAATTAATATATTATTGAAATATTAATGTATTAATTTTATTTTAGTATAGTGTGCTCTAAAGCGTGTAATATCCTTCTTTTTAAAAATTATCATCTTTGTACGTTTCAATCTATATTTTTAAATTCTTTATATATTATTTATGTAATAGTAATAATATTATTTATTCCAACTTTTAAGCATGTAGATTTGTCCACGAACCCATTTCCATGGACCGGACGGCACTAGGACCTGGGTGTGGGGGCCTTAAAGGCCCCCGAGCCCGTAGTAAGCCTATATTATGCAAACTTCATTTCCTATTCATAACTTTGCTGGCCCATTAACTTATTTCACATATGTATCCAAAATATAGTTCATATATTTAACATGGACTTTTATTATTTATTTACAATCCAACTGGAATATAATTGCAGAACTCTACCTTTACATTTATATCGTTATTTCTATCATTAACAATCTTCTATAATTAATGTCTCAACTCCATAGGATTTTTCTTTCTTCTATTACATGAAAAAAAAATAGGTAGGCAGGGGTGAGCGCCAAACTCAATGAGTAGAGTTAGATAACCTTCTCACCCCACACAATCACACAGATGCTAAAAGTATTTTTATCTGGTCACCGATTAATTTTATATTAATTTTAATGATCATGCAGTTTGTCACACAAATGGCAATACACCAGCAATCACAATTATTATCACCTTCATATAATCAATCACGTTTGGAAATTAAGTCAGTGGAGTCACCGAATCCCCCGTGAGCGTTCCTCCCACACTGGCCCATCCTCTCACGTGTGCACCAGGGAGCCGATCCCCCATTCTGGGCCGACCGGTCTAATCTCACTTGACAGCCTCTCATTGTTTTTCCATTCTCTTTTTTTTTTTTTTTTTTTTTTAAACACGCAACAGGAGGCAACTGGTCGTCTCCCTCAAATCTAGATCATCAGGCGCTCCCAACAACAGAGGCCACCTGCGGGCTGCGATCAAACCCTAGATTATCCCGGTGCGCCAAATAAAAAGCCACCTGTGGTTAACAATAACGGTACTAGGTGCAGCACGGGGGCGCCGATCTCCCATTTACCCGGCTAACAGTCATCGAGTATCAAGGATCCATATAACAGTACATCTCACAAACCCATGGTTGACGCACTTCATCCACAATTCCACACAAACAAAGGCACAACCACATCACATTCACAGATATCAGCAATATTTTAATATCAATAAATAGTGCATCAATGGCCATAATGCATGATAACATTTAGCCGTGAATGCATGAATGCAGGCGGATGATGCGAATTATCTAACACTACTCACAGTTCTTTATTATCCTCTAAGGAGACTGCCTTTCTAGCCACATGCTTCTAGCCACATGCTTCCAGCCTTTGTCCTCGCATTTCGGAATTTTATAAACCTCTAAAATAAACAATAAAAATTTTAAGTAAGAATTTTAAATTTGAAGATTCTATTTCATATTCATTTACTATTTTTGGTTACCAGTCATTTAATTCACTTATTAATTTAAACGATATATATAGATATATATTGGGTTTCCTTATTTATTTATCACTCTAATAATCTTATTCTATATTTTTAATTTCTATGAATAATTTAATCTCTATAAGTAATTTATAAAATTCAACTATCCACCAATTAACTCAATCAGTCAACTATCAAATTCTCCCAGCACATCCATCGGACAATCAATTCAGTCAATTAATCCATCCTCCATATTCTCTATATCACCATTAATTCATAAAATTTTTCTTTAATTCCATAAGTTTTATTGATATCAAAATTTCCTAATAAATTTATGTAATACTAGAATTACATTTAATTAATCAAGTATTTTTAACTAATCAATAGATCAATACTAAAATTAAATTAAATTAATTAATCAAAATTGCTACATTAAATTAGCTAATAAGATTGCTAAAATTAATTTAATTAACCAAAATTACTAAGTTAAATTATACCCAAATTACTAAAATAAATTCTGAGAATTAGCAAAAATTGATTTATACCCCAAGTATAATTTTTTTTTCTTGTCGGATTTTGCTAGATCGGGGATTTACGCGTGCCGGATCGAAGCTACACGCACTGGGATTGCAAGTGGGTGGCGCGATTTAACTGGCAGTGGCAGAGAAGCGGCGGCGGCGACAGATCGGTCGGAGGCGCGCTGGAGCGACGGCAGTGGCAGCGGCGGGCTGTGGCGTTGCTGCAGAGGGTTGGTGGCGGCTTGACGAGCTGGAGATCGTGCTGCGTTAGGGGCTGCTGTGCGCTGCACGATCTGGCAGAGGGTGGAGCGCCGCTGCTGGCGTGACGCGACGAGGAGTGGTGCTGGCGCGCGACGGCTCCGCTCGAGTTGGTGGAGGCGCGATCCGCTTCTGCCAGCACTGGAGTCGCAAGCGCAGGGAAGAAAAAGAAAGAAAAAGAAAGAAAAGAAAAGAAAGAAAGAAAGAAGAAGAAGAAGAAGAAGAAGAAGAAGAGAGGAGGTGGCAGTGGTGGCGCGGTGGTGCCGCTGGAGGTGTTGCAGAAATGGTGAGGGAGTGCGTGGTGGTCCAGAAGGTCTGGACTGGAGTGAGTGAAGATGAGTTTAGCGTGAAGATAAAAGAAAGAAGATGTTTTTCTAGATGATTGGGTCGATTCAGGTTCGATTCGTTTTCGAATCTTTGGTTTTTGCATTTGATTTTCGAATTTTTAAATTTTTCAGTTCGGTTTATCACAGTGCGAAGTATTAATTTGCATTTAAATAATTAAATACATTTTCCACGCTGTCAGTTTATTAAATTTAAATGAAAAATCGTTGAAAATAAAAATTCGGGTTATTTCAGTCTTCCCCCCTTATAAAAAAAATTCGTCCTCGAATTTTGAAAATAACAAGAAACTAGGATGCAACAGTTGCTTACGACAATGGTGGTTGTGCTTCTCACATAATGTTGCAACTGCTAAAAATTATTACATTCACATTCTAAAGAATACTAGGGTGAATCAAAAGGATGAGATAAAAATTTTTGAGTTCAGAGTGGTGAAACTATTTTTCTATTTTTTTTTTTTTTTGAAACTAATTTTTATTAGATTTATTAATTAAGACAACCCAATAAACAGGCACGGGAAGAAAATCTAATTTATAGAGAGGGTAGGATGATTATGAGCTGAACTCATCCCCAAAGTTTAGATATTTTCCTTATCACCAAAATTAATTTAAATTTGAGTTGTACTATATCCACAATTCGTCAACTCAAGTCAAATATTCATAACCCAAGGCACAGATTCGACGCTAATATTCACCTTTACACGTAAGAATTTAAGTCCCTTATAACCTCTGCTCAAGTAAGAATTATTAATCTCATTAGTTATATATCATGTAATCCACATTGATGTATTGCCTCATTTATCTCTCACTGGCTATTATAGGCAATGATCATCACTCAATATAAAACACTCATACACAAACCAAGTCTTACTGATAAGAATCCAGCAATTTCAATCAAATTTACTCTACCAATTTAGAATCCTTATTTCAAAATTCAAAACCCTACATTCGTTGACTCGTCCTTTTCCATCACATTTCGCATATTCAATATCCATTACTCCAGAATTCATGGAAAAGTTTGATAATTAAGATAAGATGGTTGTTGCCAATTCAAGAAGGTTTTTCGATTATTATCAAATTCTGCCATGGAATACTATTTGATCATTTCCAATTAAAGAGAACAAATTCTTTAGGCCACTTACTGCTTACAAGCTTTATTCAAACCAAAATCGTCGACAGTTTCTCTACTAATTGGCTATAACTGATAGAGATCCTGGCTTCTAATCCCCAGCACAATCACCTCTTTATCATTAACCTTTTTCCAACGAAAATAGATTTATAACAATCTCTTTTTCACTTTTCAAATCCTACTAATGAGTAAAAACAAGTAGTACATCAACTATATAGAGAGAATTTAAATTCACAATCAAGTCTTTATTTTAGTTATTAACTTCTCTATTCCTCTTTCCAATTTGTCGTATCATACCATTTCTTAACTAATTATGACAAGAATTTATGCAACTAGCCAAGTTAATTGTTGTCATGCCAGATAATTCTTAATTCATTTTCGAAAATTTGCAAACGCCATTCAATTATACTCAATTCTATAAAGAAATCCAGCCTACATTTTTTTTTTTTTACAAGCTGAATCGTGATGAAAAATTCTCCAAACCAATTTACCTATTTCTTCTGTCTTTAATCAACCTTTTAGACCGAAATTTACTTATCTAGAAACTTATCTAGAAATCAAGAATCCTAAACAAGTACTTTTGCTCTAGCTAAGTAAATGATTAAGAATGTTAAACCCATAATTCAACTCCTGACTAGACTATGTCCTTGATTTTATGTTTATTCTTAATCCCATGAATGCTTATGAATATTCAGACAATAATATCATTGGGTTATTCCCTTTCTCCAAGTCTATCTTAATGTCTATCATCTATAAAATTTATACCTAATACGATCTAGGAATATCCTCAACCTCAATTATGTTCTCTCTATATTCTTTACTCCAAACAAAGTTAATACCTCATTGAATTCAAGTTCAATTACTCATTGAATTCCTCAACATCTGACAACATCTGAGTTTTAATGTACCAGTCCTCCAATGGACCTAACTAATTAAGTATTCCCTTAAACCATAAGATATGTCACAAACTGCCATTTATAACACAATTCTATTCGTTCAACCATAATTGCTACCAATTACTAAGAATTTCGGAATAGGTTTACATCGACTCCAAATCATGTCTTAATGATTCTCATCCTAATTGGTATCTCAATCATTCAATGAGCAATTTTCATTGATTAATGATTTGATCAACACCCATGAGTTGGCACTCCAATATAATTAAGATGTAATCCTATCTAGTTATCACATCCAATAATCTTATACCAAGTTTCACTGTTCCAATGCATAGTAAATTAAAACTCAGCTAGTTTGTTACCAAATGCAAATATTCCAAATACCTTTGTGTTCTACTAGGGTCATAATTATAACTTTTCTTCTCCATTCAATAAAATAAGTAACTTACAAAATATGCACCAAGTAATAGAAAGTCCTTATGTATGCACTTGTATGCACTTTCCACCAACAAGTTACATTTATTCACATTCATTGTCATCTCAAGCTAAGCCCTATGATCTTTTATCAACTCTTATTCCCAATCATTACTATTTTCCAACTGATGCTATCAAATTACATAAGTCAAAATTTTCTTATCTCTCTCTCCAGTAGAAAGTCTATCTTTCTTTCTGAATATAAGTGCTAAGTTCTTTCATCATCGGGATTACAATCCTTAAATCATTTATCTATTTCTATATCACAAGACATTCAATAACTTCCTACCTTTGATCTCTTTTTAGAATATAAATTTACTATATATGGACCACAAAATTCTCGAAACTCACCTCGCAAGGACCTGATTAACTCAACTCAAAAGTTTGGTTATAACATTATCAATTATTTGTTTAATATTCTATTAGAATTATCACCGACAGTGATAATTATTTTAAACATAAGTTTGGTTATAAACTATCATTATTTTTTTTTTATTTTTAATTTTATTCTATAGAATTTCTCACGACAGTGATAATTATTTTTAAACCTCAAAGCCATTTTCCTACCTTCAATAGTTAATACATGTCCATTTCATTCTACCTTACATATTTTTTCACTTCTTTTTGTTTAACTACATAACTACATATTCTTATCTACTTATTCTAAAGCATCTTAACTTTCTAAATTTTCATAAATCTTAAATTTATTTACAGCATAAAATTACTATTCAAGCTATAATTTTTCTAATATAATTATCACCTAATATAATAGCATTTCAATCCCAAAACCACTAATTTCCTTTGCTATCTTTTACTTTGATTTTTATTATACTTGGTCCATAAGCTTAGTCTGGCTTATTAAACATCCTACATGTACTAGGATTTTAGTTATATCACACATGGATCCATCACTCTTTCATGACTTGTAAACCACAATTTTTCTACACTCATGAAATCCCAAAATATAGAAGTCTTTATCTTAAATCCACTGATGTATCATTATTCCCATTTTCATTGAATCTTGTTACCCATAATCCCTCACTAAAAAAAATGCTTGATGAATATCACAATATACTTTACTTTAACAAGCAGTGATTATTCATAAATAAAACTCACTTCATATGATAATTCCACCAATATTATTCTTTATGAAAAATACTCACCACCAATTATTATAGCAAATCACACCAAATCCTTCAATATTCAAACCTTATAAAATCATTTATGTACTTTTACTAATTAATATATCTATTCCATCCAGAAATATATCTCATGTAGAAAAGTGATTATCTCCATAGTTATAATAAATTCTACTAACCATATCATGTAAAGTTCATCAAATACATATACTAAAATCAATACTCTAATTAAATAGGTTCTAATGTACGTAAATCCGAATCATCTAGTTCTCTTATTAAGTAACACTAACAACTCATTCTCAACATATATTTTCCACAAGCACACATATACTCACATTCCTGTATTTTTATATATGTATTTCCATATCCAACACATATTAAATACACTAGCATACTTTTATCATTTAATTTCAACCTATTAATCATATACAACCTATTAATCATATATCACTTACATAATTAATTTATATAAACGTTATTTATTCCATAGAAGAAAATTTAAATTTTAAGCTAAGGACACAGTTTCCATTAGAAAGAGTACATTGGTTGATCAGGCCACTGCACTTCCTTCTAATTTCTCCTGCGTGTCAAAGCTTTGATTAACTGTTAATATCATTATTTATAGATATAATTATCTTTTCCAATTTATTTATTTATTTCTTATTATTATTTATTTTATTTATGATTCTGCCTTAGTGCCACAGTGCGTCCACCTGCACCAAGGACCGTCTTTATTTAGTGTCACTCCTTTGTTGGTTACGGCCGTCCCAACTGTAGGAGGTTTTATAATTCAATTTCCTATGTTCCGCCAATTGATTCCCCTAAGGCCCAACTTAATTGCTTCTTGATACCAACTTTGTTCACGACCCATTTCCATGGACCGGACCGGCACTAGGACCTGGGTGGGCTTAAGGCCCCCGAAAGCCACGTAAGTTAAGGCCTATATTATGTCAAACTTCATTTTCCTATTCACTAACATCGTTGGATTGCAGGCCCGCCCATTAACTTATTTCACATATGTATCCAAAATATAGTTCATATATTTAACATGGACTTTTATTATTTATTTACAATCCAACTGGAATATAATTGCAGAACTCTACCTTTACATTTATATCGTTATTTCTATCATTAACAATCTTCTATAATTAATGTCTCAACTCCATAGGATTTTTCTTTCTTCTATTACATGAAAAAAAAATAGGTAGGCAGGGGTGAGCGCCAAACTCAATGAGTAGAGTTAGATAACCTTCTCACCCCACACAATCACACAGATGCTAAAAGTATTTTTATCTGGTCACCGATTAATTTTATATCATGCAGTTTGTCACACAATGGGCAAATACAACAGCAAATCACAATTATTAATCCACCTTCATATAATTCACATCACGTGGAAATTAGTCAAAAAAGGGTGGAAGTTTCCCAACCGGAATCCCCCGATGAGCCGCTCCTCCCACACTGGCCCATTCCTCTCAATACTCTAGATTTCATGCGTGTGCACCAGGAGCCGATCCCCCATTCTTGGCCGACCGGTCTAATCCCTCACTTGACCAGCCCCTCATTGTTTTTCCATTCTCTCTTTTTTTTTTTTTTTTTTTTTTTTTTTTTTTTTTTTTTTTTACACAACAGGAGGCAACCCGGTCGTCTCCATCAAATCTAGATCATCAGGCGCTCACAACAGGAGGGCCACCCTGCGGGCTGCGATCAAACCTAGATTATCCGGTGCGGCCCAAATAAAGAAAGCCAACCTGCTGGTTAACAATAACGGTAACAAGTAGGTTGCACACGGGGGCGCCGATCTCCCATTTACCCGGCTAACAGTAATCAGTAATCAGGATCCAGTTATAACGTAACAATCTCACAAAACCCATGGGTGACCCACTCATCCCAAATTCCACACAAACAAGGCACAACAACATCAACATTCACAGAATAATCAAGCAATATTAATACAATAAATAGTGCATCACAATATGGCAATAATGCATGATAACATTTAGCCGTGAATGCCATGAATGCAGGGCGGATGAGGCGAATTATACCAACACTACTCACAAGTTCTTTATTGTTCCTCGAAGGGAAACTGCCTTTTTCTATGTCAACATGCTTCGAGCCTTTTGTCCTTGCATACCGGAGTTTTATAAACCCTTAACATAAACAATAACATACTAAGTAAGAATTTTAAATTTGAAAAATTCTATTTCATATTCATTTACTAGTTTTGGTTACCAGTCATTAATTCACTTATTAATTTTAAACTATATATATATTTATTAAATATAATATTGGGTTTCCTTATTTATTTATCATTCTGATAATCTTATTCTAATATTTTTAATTTCTATAAAACCAAATTTAATCTCTATAAGTAATTTAATTGTAATTAATTTTATTTTCTACCGAAATTTCGACAATATTTCTCCTAAAATTCAACTATCCACCAATTAACTCAATCAGTCAACTATCAAATTCTCCCAGCACATCCATCGGACAATCAATTCAGTCAATTAATCCATCCTCCATATTCTCTATATCACCATTAATTCATAAAATTTTTCTTTAATTCCATAAGTTTTATTGATATCAAAATTTCCTAATAAATTTATGTAATACTAGAATTACATTTAATTAATCAAGTATTTTTAACTAATCAATAGATCAATACTAAAATTAAATTAAATTAATTAATCAAAATTGCTACATTAAATTAGCTAATAAGATTGCTAAAATTAATTTAATTAACCAAAATTACTAAGTTAAATTATACCCAAATTACTAAAATAAATTCTGAGAATTAGCAAAAATTGATTTATACCCCAAGTATAATTTTTTTTTCTTGTCGGATTTTGCTAGATCGGGGATTTACGCGTGCCGGATCGAAGCTACACGCACTGGGATTGCAAGTGGGTGGCGCGATTTAACTGGCAGTGGCAGAGAAGCGGCGGCGGCGACAGATCGGTCGGAGGCGCGCTGGAGCGACGGCAGTGGCAGCGGCGGGCTGTGGCGTTGCTGCAGAGGGTTGGTGGCGGCTTGACGAGCTGGAGATCGTGCTGCGTTAGGGGCTGCTGTGCGCTGCACGATCTGGCAGAGGGTGGAGCGCCGCTGCTGGCGTGACGCGACGAGGAGTGGTGCTGGCGCGCGACGGCTCCGCTCGAGTTGGTGGAGGCGCGATCCGCTTCTGCCAGCACTGGAGTCGCAAGCGCAGGGAAGAAAAAGAAAGAAAAAGAAAGAAAAGAAAAGAAAGAAAGAAAGAAGAAGAAGAAGAAGAAGAAGAAGAAGAGAGGAGGTGGCAGTGGTGGCGCGGTGGTGCCGCTGGAGGTGTTGCAGAAATGGTGAGGGAGTTAGCTGTGAAAGATAAAAGAAAGATGAAGATAAAAGAAAGAAGATGTTTCTAGATGATTTGGGTCGATTCAGTTCGATTCGGTTCGAATCTTTGGTTTGCATTTGATTTTCGAATTTTTAACTGATTTTTCAGTTCGGTTTATCACGGTGCGAATTATTAATTTACATTTAAATAATTAAATACATTTTCCACGCCGTCAGTTTATTAAATTTAAATGAAAAATCTTTGAAAATAAAAATTCGGGTTATTTCATTTATCTATCTATATCTATATCTATATCTATAAATATATAAAAATAAAACCCTAAAAGCTGACATGGCATTATAGAGTTTTGAAGTGCTGATTTTGGCAAGGGAAAAATATGTAAGCGTAGGTTATTTCAATACCCATTAACTATGATAATTTATTATGCTAATTAAATTTTTAGTTTATAGTTTGAAAATTCTAAAGGTATTAATTAAACTTTACAATTAAAATTTTGAATACCCTATTTAATAATATAGATTTACTATATAACTAATAATACGTATCTCTTATTATAAAAAAAAATTACAATATCTAATTTTTTCTCTCTTGCTTTATCTTTTTTTGGATCATTTTAATGAATCGTTTCATCTTTTTTAGTATTTAATTATTACATAAGTGTTGGCAATATCAATTGATACTGGCTTTTTGACATTCCTCACTTCCTTTATATTTTTGCTCATGTTTGGATATTAATTTATTCACTACATGTTTGGATATTAATTTATTCACTAATCATGGTTTCAATTATCAATTGTTTTTTTTGGTTGAAATTGATTTAAGATATTAATACTATTTAGATTATTTTATTTACTATAACATATTCATAATTTATTTTATTACTATAACATATTCATAATTTACGTGTTCTATATTTTTTGGGTTGTTATTTATTCAAAACTAGTTTTTTAAATACTTTTTTTCTAAACACCATTTTTGTAAAAAGCTCATAATTTTACAGAAAGCATTTAACATAGTCGCTGCCGGAAAGGGATTAGTCATAGAAAGCTAATTATTAAAAACAAGAAGAAGAAAAAATACATTATATATGAATCAACTTTAGATTAGCATTGATTATAAAACTAATTAATTGTCCATATGAACGCGTGAACAATGCGTTATTAAGTGTAATGTATAGAATTTTTCATATAAATGAGTATAAAATAGATTAATTAAATAGTTGAATCTAATCTACATAGTAAATAGTTATTATGTTGGTAAGACTTTGGCCTGACGCTACGAGAATCAAATCCAATACTAATATTAGATTAAAAATTTTTTGCAATTACAATAAATATAGAATAATGAAATGAGTCAAATAACCTTCATGCAGCAGCAGATAACTAAAACCAGAAAGAGAACAATAGATCATTTCTTAACATTATTTTATTTTTTCATATTTGAGATGAAAATCTGGCCGTTTTACTGATGGAAAAGAAGTTTGCATCTTTGAGACCTATAACCAGCACTCTAAACTGGAAATTTTCGAAATAATTATGAAATAATTTTCAAAATGATCTTTTACAATCAATCTTATTCATGTTTTTTTGGTAAAAAATGAATATAATGTATGAAAAAAATAAACAATTATTTTATTTAGAAATTATAAAAAATCGATCATCATATAATAATGAACTTTATATATGAATTTAGTTGTTTTCTATTAATTATTTAGCTAGCTTGCCACCATTATATATTCTTTATAAATTAGCTATTTAGCCGATATGAATTCTTAATAGTAGATATTCTTCATTAAATTTGTAAATTTCTTAGTATGAGAATTATTGAAATATATTTTTTTAAGCATCAGAAGAAAGAATTCAAATCTAACTATATTGGTAGATTATACATATATTTATCAATAGGTTATATCTTGATTTTCACATAAAAATTATTGAATACAAACACATTTATCAATTTTTTCACGTGGAAAAATGTATTTGAGTTGCAAAACAAACCTAGCACGTCTATCTTTTTTTTCTTTCTTTCAATTGATAGAAATATAAATTATTGTCAAATTGTATAATTTGAGGCATATTTTGAATGAATCGTATTGATTGATCGTATTGATTGATTAATTATTCTGTTGCTTATACACTGTTAAATATAGCTAGGTATATTTATACCAAGATAAGAAATAAAAGGATGATTATTTTCCTCCTATAGTCATTCCCTAATTCTGTTAATATAGCTAGGGTATATGTTTATACAAGATAAGAAATAAAAGATGATTATTTTCCTCCTATAGTCATTCCCTAATTATGTGCACTGATTGGGAAATGATAGGGAGTCTGATCCCACATTTTCCTCTAATTTCCTTTCTCGCTGACACTCCCCCTCAAGTTGAGTAGTGAGATTACCAATGCTCAACTTGCCCAAAACTTCACTAAAAATTCTTCCGTTCACTGCCTTTGTTAATATATTTGCCAAATGATCTTCAGAGCGTATGAAGGTTAGCTCTACACTACCTGCGTCTAACTTCTCTTTTATGAAGTGTCTGTCAACTTCCACGTGTTTTGTCCGATCATGCTGTACCGGATTTTCTTAAATACTGATCGCTGCCTGGTTATCATACATTATCTTGCAAGCCTCAGATGGTGGGAACCCAATTTCAATTAACAATTTTCGCAACCACAATATTTCAGTCAAACCTCGTGCCACTCCTCGAAATTCAGCCTCTGCACTAGACAGAGCTACAACTTTTTGCTTTTTGCTCCTCCATGTGACTAAGTTACCTCCCACAAAAATAAAATATCCTAACTAAGTTACTAACATATGAATTAATAAAAAAATGCCTTTATACGTGAATCACCTTCAGATAAACCTTAATAAAACCTCATGGCCTGAATGGGCACGTGAAATATGTGCAGAATTGTGGATATAAATGGGTGCAAAATGTTGTCTTTTTTATGTTATTCTATCTGTCTCTTTCTACATAAATAATCACACATACATAAACACTTCAACTTTACAATATAATTTTAATTTTACGGTGTTCTGAACTTTGTGAATAACATATTATGCACATAAATTTATAAATTTTGATAGTATAGAATTTTTAACTTTTATATGCAAAATATTGGTTTAATGTATAGTTAGCATAACTTTTAATGCAATAATTTTTATTTTTTAACTATTTAATAAGTATTTAATTGATTTAATTTTATAAGGTGAAGTGTTCTAGTAAAATGATTTTGTAAGTGTTTACTATTTTATAAATTGAAGTGTTTGGTGGATTAAAATAAAATTTAAGAGTGTCACATGGTTAAGTAACAGTTTAATTAGGGGGTTAAATTGTTATTAAATCATATCTATCTATCTATCTATTTATATCTATATCTATATAAATATATAAAAACAAAACCATAAAAACTGACATGGCATAAATATAGAGTTTTGAAGTGCTGATTTTGGCAAGGGAAAAATATGTGAGTGTAGATTATTTCAATACCTATTAACTATGATAATTTATTATGCTAATTAAATTTTTAGTTTATAGCTTGAAAATTCTAAAGGTATTAATTAAAGTTTTGAATACCCTATTAAATAATATGGATATACTATAAACTAAAAATGCGTATCTCTTATTATAAAAAAAAAAATAGAGTATCTAATTTTCTCTCTCTTGCTTTAGCTTTTTTTTTTATCATTTTATTGAATCTTTTGATCCTTTTTAGTATTTAATTATTATATGAGTGCAATATGCATTGACACTAGGCTTTTTGACATTCCTCACTTCTTTTATATTTTTAGCTCATGTTTGAATATTAATTTATTCACTAATCATGGTTCCCGATATCATATTTTTTGTTGAAATTGATTAAGATATTAATATTGTAGACATTTTATTACTATCACTTATTCATAGTTTATGTGTTCTATGTTTTTTGGATTGTTATCTATAAGAGGTGACTAAGCGAATAATTTTACAAGAATTTTCTGAAAAATTTTCTATTTAAGACAATAAAAGATATAAATTTATATAATCTGCACGTGGTGGAGTACATGACTAGTAAATATACAAAAGCACAATATTGCCTCTATCCTATGAAGCCATGTCAATATGAATTAAATGCAATTGATTTGGCTTTTATTTTATATTTAATTTTAAATTTTAAATCAACTAACTTCTACTAATTTGTAATAATTAATTAGCAATCTCTTCATCTCGTTGTTAATTAATGCACCAGTAGAGGACATAATGTCCAAACATTACATTAAATGAGCATATTCCTTGTTCGTTTGTCTTTTATCAATTAACTTTTATTTTTTTCTAATCATTTATCAACAAATCAGCGCCACACAACGTGCTATGAGAACAGAATCTGCTTGGATTTTCAATGATGATAATAATAATAATAATAAAGAAAAAAAATTGAGAAAAGAAAGTGAGAGCGGTTTCCCTATAAAAGCAGGTTATAAGGGAGAGGCCAAACACCATCTCTTGCTCTCTTCTTCATTAATTCCTTCTTGCTCTTGCGCTCTTTGTAAGTTATCTTTTTGATAAATTCCTCTAACATTAACTTCCCATTTCTTCTTTCACTAACAGCCTTTACCCAAAATGTTAAAAACTACGATCATTCTTTCTTTTCTTAATTATTTTTATAATTTCATGCAATTTTATTAAATAACTATATTTATATAATGATATCTGTTTTTCTTCATGCAAATGTTTCTATTTCTATGATAATTAATTAAGCATTTGGACAGGTGAAATCAATATGAAAGGTGGAAACATGAAGCTCTGCATTATGGTGGCTGCATGGTTTTGCTGGAGTACTATTATATTTGGATCGGCATCCGCTAGGGAAAGAGCTTGGCCATTCTCATCAAACAACAACTACGCAGCTGATTCCACTCCAACTTTAACCATTACTTATATTCCTGATGAGGATGAGCAAAACTACGCCAAGTTTATTACAGATCTAAGAGAAACATTTGGCTCTAGCGGTTTAAGCCATGGAATACCAGTCTTACGGGCCACAGTTGCTGCAAATCAGAAATTTTTTGTAGCCAAAGTCATAAATGCTGGGGATATAGAAGTATCAGTAGGATTAAACGTCATTAATGCATATCTAGTGGCTTATAAGGTAGGAAGTAATTCCTATTTCTTTAACGATTCGGAATCTTTGGCTGATGCAAAAAAATATCTTTTCACAGACACAAAGCAACAAACACTAGCATTTACTGGTAGCTATGCAGATTTTGAATCTAGGGCAAAGCGGACTCTACAAACCCAAAACTCATTCACATCGCATATCTAGTGGCCCTACTCAACCGCGCTCAGCCGAACGTACATCCTCCTACTTTCTTTACACCATTCCGCGACCACCTCCTTGGTCGATGCACAAAAACACACCTCACTCTCTTCCACAGGGACACACACAGCAACACACACTACGCACTTTCACTCGCGCCGTAGCTATGCACGACTTCCTCTGAATCCTACGGGCAAACCCCGGCCTACATCAGCGCACGCAGCCAAGAAGTGGATTTTAGGAAAGTAAGGATAGGCATATAAGATAATTACATAAATATAGGATCTTCAAAAAAGTATCTATCTACCAGCAGACAATTGCTTAAAAAACCTACTAGTTTATACTATTATCCAAAAATGGTAATTCAAGAGAGCGAGAGCAACACTAATTTCAAAATAATATTGAAGAACAAAAGTATTAGATCAAAAATTAGCCAAAACATTAGAAGACGCGCACCGGTGACTACTTAGCCGGGAGAGAACCAGCCTGGGACGGATCATTCTTATCAAATACAGAAATCTAGTATAAAATGAATGTATATACTCAACACCCAGTTCAACATTTAGGCCGCGCGGTGACATACTTAGCCGGGAGAACAGCTGGGACGACCTATCTTATCAAATACAGAAATCTGTAAATGATGTATTTCTCAACCCAGTTCAATTGCAACTTGAAGACTATTCCTTTTACCAAGTGAACAATGTCAACCAAGTAAAAGATGATATGGGAATCCTGTACAATGAAGCCAATCACAAAGTCTCCATGGAAGAAATTATTATCAACAGCCAAAAGTGGCTGCCATTGCTTTAATAGTATTACTTTTGCTCTATCTTTGCTGCTCTAAATATAGTAGCATCAATAAAGGACATCATTGTCCAAACATTCTACTAATGCTTTGTTATTTCCCTGTAATTTCCTCATATTTCCAATAAGAATAAAGACTTATAGTAGGTTTTATAAATTATTGTCGGATTATGCCTTGAATTTTGTGCGTGACTTTGCCTTCAAGCCCAATGTTTGTATTGCTTTGCATGGGTACAAAGCATGAATTTAGTAACTTAGCTTGGGTACAAAGTTTTGAAGTTGGCAAATCTTACTGATGTTCGAAATTATAAATTAAAGAATATGGCCATTTGACCATGTAAGAGGAAAAATTGGCTTACGTGAGAGTTGAGAATTTACCTTCGGTGCAATTAATTGGGTATAAATAATTGCAGGTATTTTACTCTAGGTTTCTAGAGGGGATTGCTTCAGCAGGGTTGATATAAACTCTAGGTCTCGAATATTTTATTCTAGCGTTCTAGAGGGTGGTTGCTTCAATGGGATTGACTTAAACACTGAATTTGAGAGCGAGTTTACTTTTGAGTTTGATAACAATTCTTTAGAATTTATGTGAGGGGTTTATAAATATTATGAGATTTTTAAGTGGGTATAATTGAAGGAAAAATTATGATATTTTTATGTATTATTTTATTTTTACATAATAAAAGATTTTGTGTTATCCGTAAATATAGACAATTTATCGAACTACGTTAAAATCTCGTGTCTATTATTATTTTCTTAGTAATATTTATTTATTTGATGTTATTGAGTTTATTGAACGATTATTTAATTGTGTGGAGGTAGCTAGTTTCGATAACAAGTTGTGTTAGACAACATGTATTTTTCATAACAATTATTAGAAGTTATTATTATAATCATAACTTATAGTAGGTTTTCTTTTTGTAAATTGATTATTGTTTGTTATAGTAATTGGGAAATAGTATTGATTATCAAATAAATAAAAAATTACGCTGTGTGAGTAAAGTCAAGAATTCTAATACTTACATACTCATTGTTTTTCCTTATAATTAACTTCATTACTTTTAATTTTAATTAACCAAAAAATCTTAAGTTCAGTAATATATATATATAGTTGAAGATAATTGTGAGGTTATTAAAAAATATCTTCAGTGTTTCGTTCTTCATATCTCTTTTTTATTTCATCAAGTATGAACCCACAATCATATATATACGTATAGATAATTATAATTTTTCTTTTACTTTTTTATATTGTTTCGCTAAATAGGAAGTGAATTATTATTGATTCTTTATAGCATGTTTGAATTTTTTAGCAGGAACTTATATATATATATATATATATATAATATTGTTTCGCTAAATAGGAAGGTGAATTATTATTGATTCTTTAAATAGGAAGTGAATTATTATTGATTCTTTATAGCATGTTTGAATTTTTTAGCAGGAACTTATATATATATATATATATATATACACATATATTGAAACAAGTAGTATTTGATATTATGCATAGAGTGCATTTTTAATGAATGATAAATTTATAAACTGCATTAAACATTACATATTCTGTATTTTGATTTTTTTATTAATTAATTAGCCAATATATTCACGTTAATATCAATATAAAATCATGTTTTAACATTATAAAAATATAAAGAAAAATTATAATCAATATTTAATATTATAAAATCTATATAATATATAAAACCAGAGCAGTTTGCATTATATGAAAACTAAGTGTAAGCCTCTAAAATTATCACGTATGAGGAGGAACAGTATGGACCAACAAGTTTAATTAATTATTAAAATTAAAAATCAAAAATAGGAACAATATGGACTAACAATTAAAGTTTGACCAACAATTAATTGTCACAAATGTTTTCTATAAAATCAATAAAATTAGATCTTTATGTTTTCTACAGTAGGGACCAACAGTAATATATACTTACAGTATTTTAATATTTTCCACTCAATAATATTTTAACATTTTCTCTCTCCCAATTAGACCAACAGTAATATATATTTAATTTCTTATTTTAATGAAATAAAAATAAATTTTTTAACAAAATTTATTTATTATTGATAATAAGAAAAATCTTGATTGATTAGCTTGGTATATGGAGTAGTCTCATATACCAAGAACTAGGTTGTACGGACACAAGACATGAGATACGGAAACGTACAAGATACGATAATTTTTTAAAAAGTAGGATATCCACACACTTAAAACACACTATACTAAATAAGTCATATATTAATATTTTAAATAAATACATAATCATTTATAATGAATTATAAACATAAAATTAAAAAATTAATTTTTTATTTCAATGACAGAAAAACAAATTTAAAAAATACTTCCATTTTATTGTAACTTAAAAAAACTCTGGTTGATAGCATTTTTACTTGAGTAGTCTCAAGTCATCAAAGAGTTAATTGTAATTGGATACGGTATTATGAAATACAGAATAATTTTTTTTAAAAACTAGACAATCCACACGTTAGAATACATACATTAACATACAGTAATAAATTAATATTTCAATACATAACAGATCATTATAATCATCATAACATAAAATAAAAAAAACATCTAATAATATCTATCTTCAATTGACACAAAATACAATTTTAAAACAAATTTCATTTTTACTTGATAACTAATAAAAAAAAAAGACCTCGAAGTGATCAAACCTCTGGTCTGTATTGAGTAGTCTCTTATAAGTAGATTGGGATCAAGGACACGATACATAGATACGATAACATAAAGCGATCGGATTAATTTTTAACAAAGTAGGACAGTCCATCACTCTGGGATAAACTAAAACTAAATAATAATACATATATTTCAAATAACTTAAACATCATTTAAAGAATAAATCATAAACATAAAATAAAAATACAAATTTTTAGGATAAACATAAAATAAAAAATACTAAATTTCTTAGTTCAATATAATTAGTTAAAGTCTCAAAATTATTATCACTATTAAAAAAATACATTAATACTGTGTATGCATTTTTTTTATATAGATCATACCATGCATAGATTTTGCTATTGCATACCTTATGAGAGACTTCACGGGATACTTAAGAAAACATATCATAGCATTGCAACTTTTCAGTATATCTCAATGAGATACCATTTATCATTTTATCATATAATTTTACTATTTTTAAATGATGTTATAAAAGATTGTTTTATCTTTTAATATTGCTTTAGGCATCGCGCGGATTCTAATACTAGTAATAATAATAAACGAGTATGGATAACAAGTAAAAAATTATTAACAAAGGATAATTGTGAAATGTGAAGGATAATTGGATTTTCAAAAAATATTTATTTTTGGTATAATCAGGAGGTGTAATCTACCTCGAATGATACGGCAAAATGCATTTTCCAAGATGAAACTTGTGTTCTAATTCTTATAGGGATTGAGATTGATTACCAACCCAACCAACAATTATTGGTAATATCTTTACTAATATTAGAGATATCCTAAATTATCATTTGTCATGGTTAATTAAAATATTTTAAAAAATAATAACAATTAGTAATAAAATTTTTTATTTTTTTACAATTTGATTGAACGTATTTTTTAAAAATTAAAATATAATTAGAACTTTACTTCAGCGGTCAAACTTGGAATCATCATTTGGAAGGGTTGGTATCTAAATACAATACATCATCAAGCTTATCAAAGGAAAAAAATACAAAATATATTAGGAGTGTGCATGGTTCAGACAAAGATAGGAATTACATAATTTTCAATCAAATCTCAAAAGATCAAAACATAAAAGGGTGTGTTTGGCAACGAAGTTTAGGATAACTTTTAAATTTAGTCAAAAAACTGTTTCCTAGATTATAGTGTCCAATAACTTAACATATAAAGTAATTTGCAGAGTATGAGAAGAGTATTTTTTAAAATATTATCTCATCTAATATTTAGCGTTTTATTCAAAGTTTGCTTCTTTTAATTGAATTTTTTTTTTTTTTTACAATCCTATCTTTAATTAATTTAAAACCATTACGCTATCACATTATTTATTGGACTAAATTCAAAGGAATATGGATGCATATACTTGGTGTTTTCGTTTTAATATTATACTATTGATAAATTGTTCAAGTCAAATTATCATAGACAGCTCCAACTCATGGGTGCAACAACCATTGTTTTATATTTAAGCTATGGTATGAGCCTATTC